GTACACACGTAAATATATCCGACGGTACATCATCTCCTCTGGAATTCGACGGCGGACGCGTTTTTCCACCGTTTCGAAGATCTTTCCGCCAAGATTCGCTTCGTATCGCTCGCGTGAAAATTGAAATTCGACCCGGGAAGAGGTACCCAGTGCACCGGCGTGACGAGTTTATTAAAATCGGCGCGCTCGTTAAAGACACACCAGTTGGTCCAGAGTCTTGTTCTTTTAGCGAAGATCGGTTCATCCGAGGTTTTGTTCAACTTGATCTTCGGGATTCCTCCAGTTCGTTAAAAACAAGTACAGACCAGTTCAAAATTACTCCGATCGTACGTAATCATTCTCAGCTCGTTTCACTGTTGCACTTCCAAAAGCATTTTCTCAGAATCATCTTGGTTAAATTTTCACTCTTAGAAAATGAGATCTTGTGTAATAAAAGAGCAGGTAAGACCGGAAGACGATGTCAGCGCGCGTCCGGATGGCCCGATAGGCTCGCGCCGTGCGGTGGCTTATGATCGAGGCGACGCTGTTTGTCATTAGAGGAGGACGGCCGAGGCTCATTATCCGAATAATTAAAGCTTATTATATGATGTAGCGCTGCCCGTTATCTAACCGGTTTCGTCGATGCGCGTCGCAGATAAACTTATCTGTCGTGTAGGAGCTCTTGTAACGAATCAATTATATTACTTATGTAAGCGCGTGGATTTCGCGCGCTCCGCCACTTATCGCGGCGAAACTCGCACTGCGAAACGCTTTGCTTGTCCCGATAAGCGAACGCTCCCATTAAAATACAAAGAAAACCTTTTAACTTGGCTGACAGTGAAAAATTTACACGATAAACGTGTGTTACACTTGCATCCGTGTAACAACAGATCTTCGAATTCGAAACGGATATAAATCACATTATCCGTTTATTTTAATGCGAATTACAATATAAAGATCATGATGAAAATGTAAATAATATTGTTTGAAGTAGATAAATGAAGGAAGGAAGGAAGGAATGAAAGGAGCACTCAGTATTCTTTGTACACGCAGTGCCGTATTGTTGAAGTATGGGGCACCGCGTTGAATAACTAAACACGCGTGTAGAAACGATCCGGCGCGTTGTATCGGTCGGCATGCCAAAAGCTGGACGCGATTCAATACGAAAATCGCGAGCTGCAGTCTAGCAAAACTGGTGGACCGGTTTTTTCCTCCCCCGTCCCCGGGATGATCGTCGTCGCCGTCGCCGCCGCGGCCAAAGCGAGGGAGGGGGGGATATATTCAGGCAATTCCCATTTCGCGTCGCCATGCATTTATGCCTGAATACAAAGTGCGAGGTCTCCATGGAAAAAAGGGAAGACGACGAATAAAGAGGTGGAAAAAGGACAGGAGAAATGGAAAAGGGAAGCCGTTGGACTCTCCGTAAATCTTCCATGCGTGTAACTCTTCTGACGAGGAAGCCACGACGCTCTCGTTGCGGCAACTCCCGGAGTTGTTTATGCTTTCCTGTGTGCAGCGGTTTCTGAAATATGCAAATCGCGAATTCGCATAATGGCGTTATCGCGGTAGGATGCCGCCGTCGGCGACGACGTCGAGATAGCTGAATCCTGACCGGCTAGAGCTCTTCCATGACATCAAACGGCCACCGCGCGCCGCTGCCTCGCCGGGCCCATTGATTTGTCCCTGAACGAGAAGCATCCCGACTCTGACGCCCATCCGTGATAAATATATGATCTGCGAATCCGATCCACGATCTCTATGACTCACGACGAATTGACTAAGGAATCCTGGCCCCCGTCTCGGGGGGTCGATCGTTGAAAGGTTCATCGATGAATTCATTCCTCTTCACATTTTTTCTTCCAATGTATCTCCGAACTAGGTTTTTATCTTATTTGCATCACAGGCTTTAAATATCATCATCGTCGATTAGAATATATTTCATACGAGAACTGTTGTAATTCCTGACACGATATTTGATCCAATCACTCATACTGTTTAATTGTTACAATAGTCGATGATCCACTTGGATTCATTTTCTTATTCGCACTCGTTGTTTGGTTTCGTTGCTCTTTTTCAATTTGCAAATTGTTCAGGGAAGAACGTTGCCGTTTCGTGGCGGCGTCGTTAACCTTCTTCCAGCGAGAGCCCGGAATATCTACGTTCTCTCGCAACCATGTAAACCACAGAAAATTATATCGATCCGTGACACGCGAGCCTTAAAATGTCGCGTTTCACTCGCGTGTAGTCAGTCTACCGGCGACTGCCTCGGTGGTCTTGCTTTTATAAACCAGGATGCCGATGAATTATTCATTTTTTGTATCGATTTACCTCCCGATTTTTCAAATTACGACCACCTCACCAAATGCAATTTTAAAAACATTGTCTACAATATTATACATTATCTACAACAAATCAATACGCAGAACATCAAAAGCTTAAATGCACGTCACAGTGCTTAAACAATATAAAATAGATCTGTCTGTCGTAAATACGAAAAGAGCACAAAGTTATATGAAATGCTTAATACACTCGGTACACCATACTTGACTGTATGGACTGGATTTCATTCATATATTTCAAGCAGCAGGAAACATAACAGAGAGAAAAAGAAAAAGAATCAGGAAGGAAGACGAAGCGACGGGCGGTGGAAATTCGCGGTTTATTATTATTTTATTCGGATGTTCTTCGCGGCGTTATACCCCATAACCCACCCTCTTCTCTACACCTTTTCCTGCGGCAGCGTCTACACGCCCTTATCGTACCACCACCGTTCTCTCTATCTACTTCTGTCCCTCTCTATCTATCTATCTCTCCATCTCTCTCTCTCTCTCTCTCTCTCACACACACACACAGAGGAGAGACCACCCCTCGGTGTGGTACAGCCAAGTCGTAATCCCTCTTTGCGAGGTCCTTAACAGCCACGGCTGAGACTCCGCGCGATGGGGACGTTGAAATTTAAGGTTTCCGTCCACACGTTGCGACCCATAAATCGCGGGTTTACGGGTGAAACGCGTTAAGCCAATACTCACATTTTTTTTACAAACTGCAGTATCAATTTTATTCAAACCGATTCACGTTTGTCATAACGTTTTCATTCCGTGTTGGTTAATGAAAGCAAATGAAAAAACTGTACGTGCACATGCCAGATAGAATACACATACATACATGTATGTATGTACATATGTACATTTAATTCGTCTATGGTTTCGTTATACAATATACACCTATGCGCGCCTAGCTCGTCGTCGGAAAAAACCCATTTTTATATCAAAATTGTTAATCCTTTCGATCCTGCTGTTGTCAAATGACACACAAACAAAATATTGCTTCTGTGAAATTCTTATGCAATCTACATATGTATAATGAACTGAGGTATACTTGTATTCTTGACCGTCTGACAGACATCTTTTAACCAGGTGGAAAGTTTTTAAATACTTAATAATATAAATTTATCTTACAACAAACTTCTTAACAATAATGAAAAATCGACAAATAATTCAGGAATGAAAGAGTCAGGAATAAAACAAACGAAACGTCAAAATTGGCGGCGACGTATCAGACGCCAAAGCGCCAAAACATTTCAATCGCATGTTTTGCATGATACGACATTAAAACAGTTGACTAAACTAAAAATAAAATCTACATAACTTGTTAATGTACTATACCTGTTATTCCTGACGATAATTGATGCATCGTACCAAAATTTCTGCATAAATTCGGAAGACACTGCACTCGTTACACTTGTTCAACTACACCCTCAACGCTGACACATGACGTAAGTCGTTAGTCGATCAACATCGACTAACAATCGATTCATGGCCCGATTAACGGAGTGGTGAAGCAACCATGCCTATTTTATAACATAATGATGATTTTCCCATGTTACGTACATCAAACAATAAATAGAAATGAGTAAAGAATTTTTTAAGAAACAATCATTAATTCGAACATGTAAAGAGTAATAGCTTGTATTCTGTACGCAGTTCGATGCATTGTCATTCGCGAATATCAGGACGAGCGATCCGTTTCATAACAAAGTTTTCGCTTAAACACGATTCGTTTCAAACAGTGATAGAAATAATCTACTTCTAAGCAAATATCTTACCTGATTAATGTCTTAAAAATGTTGAATAGTATTACAAAACAGACACCAAGTCACAGGAACAGGTAGTTCACATTCCACATTCACGTTAACATTAAACAATGCTGCCACTCAGGCGTTACCAAATTTTAATTATCATTTTTCAAGTATCTTAATTAATAGCTAAAGACAAATGCATTATCATAATCTAGCAATACAAATAATAAGCTGAGATATCAATTAAATTGTCGATATATTCTTTAAATAAAAAACATGAGAGTGAAAAAGTAAAATTTTCATGGATTGTCACCCCTGATTGTTAATAGCAAACCGCCAAAAATGCAGTTCCGGATGAGTCGACTTTAGTGCTAGTAATGGTGCCCGTGAAATTACACTTTAACTGTCCTAGTAAATCGAAAAAGAAGTAAGAATTACAAATACGATGCATTGCTGATAGAAAACGAGTTAAGTTCTAAGTAACGGTAATATTTAATCGGGATTTGTTTGTTATAGGCAGGATAGTACAAGCAGAATAGGCTGATAGGCTTTGTCCCTGGCTAGACTCCATGATTCCATTTCATCCTTCCCGAAAGATCATCGAAAAGGTATTTCAAATTCTATATGCTCTATTTCCAAGTCTTTGCAATACTTTGTATCAATTGTTGTAACCATGGTATAATGTTTATTGTGTTATAAGTATGTTATATACATGTTAAATTGTATGCATTATCGAATTTTATTGCAAAAGGCAAAACCAGTACATGCTGCTCTCTGCAGTTTTCGTTCTAAACGCGGAGTCGGGTACTTATCCACCGACAGTGGATAAATCGCTTGTTCGGTCAGTCATAATTTTGCAATCACGCTTGTAACACCGAGCCACCTCGGTACTGATATAAGCACTGATATTCAAATTATTAGTAGGTGAATAAAAACGCAGAGATCATATTCTCAACCATTTATTTTTCTCGTTTTTCTCTGTATTATTAGAATGTTAAATAAAACCAGCTGTTCCCTAATCGCATAACACTTAGCACAGAAAACGATTCGGAAATGTCAACTAACACATAGCAAAGACATATAAAAAACGTTATACAATTTCTGTAGATCCGAAATTTTGAGCAATCGTCGGGACGAATTTTTAATTACGGCAGATAGTATCTAAAAGTCTGAATAAATCGTTTTTTCATCGTACATTATATACTATTAACAAATGTGCTGTGGAAAGAACAACGTGCCCGTTACCCAGTCTCTTATTCGAAAACGATAACGTTTTCACCGCGTATTTATTATTGCTAACAGTCACAAAAATATGGGATCAAATTGTTTCGCGTTCGTTCGTTTCACTCTTCTCGCGATTCATTTTATCCCTAACACAGTTTTATACGAAATATACTCTCGATCCTATGTAGAGTTCGTTATCGGGGTGAAGAAAAATAATTTGCGAGGGGTTCAAATTTGTTTACGCTCCTTATGATCATCGTAATGAGTAATGAACAGAAGGGGCGCGACAATTATTCGTGCAGACTATAAAAATAACGTGTCTAACCGTTCGAAAGGTTTTCTTCTTTTTATACAGAAGTTTACAGAGTTCCCTTTTTTGTGCCCGTCGCATGTTTTACAAACATTTCCTACGTTGTATACTACGGTAAGCAACGATAACGAGATTAATACTGTTCGCTGAAGATCGTTCTATTAACGAGTTACTACTTACTCGTTTAACATATGCATTTTGATTATTCTTATGTTATTTATTCCATTGATGATTAATTATAAATTTGTTTAAATATGTGTACATTCGGCGTGCGCAGTTGAGATTAAAAATTTGGAACAACCGATAGCACGTAGGCCATTTTCAGTTTAATATGAAAATTCGATAAGCTCGAACTTCAACGCAATTTCGTTCATAAGAAAATTAATTGCATTCTATCTTTTAATTACTCGCTCATTTTCTACAAAGCCGTTCATTGCACGTACCGTTCATAATTTTCATATCCCTCAGTTTTCTTCAGAGCATTGCAAATTTTAATACGCATTAAAGTATAAGAATTGGGGTTCTCTTCATAGTAACGTTTCTTCACGAAATTGTCCAATCGTAGACTGCTGCAAAACACTTTTTATCACAGATAACAAACATGTATTTGGTGTAACTGGTGTGTTCTCGATAACAATGACATTGAAACTAATCCATCTCCTTTGCAAAGTGAAGAAATCAAATTGATATTAGAAAATTACATGGTAAGGAAATGCAAAGGTAATAAGGTGATTAAAATTTCACAGAACGCAAAGTTCCATTCTTATACTGAAAATCTCTTTTGATTTAAATGCAACACATGTGTAAAGTGATCTAGATCTCGTGTTCTATATTTCATTCTATCTCGATAAAATTAGGGAACACTCTGCTTACGATTAGAATGTAATAGAAATACAACTCTTCTCTTTTTAATAGTATCAAAAGAACTTTCATCTCTACATTATCAATATAAAGCTTTTTACTGTTAAATATATGTTCTGTAAACAGTGTTTTGAACATGTGACGAATGTTGGAATATATATATACAAAACTATATGTACATTTATTCGTATTATACACATCATACTAATTCGTCATCATTTATATCTTTGCTACGACGTGTACTTAGATGTTGATCATCGTTAAGTTAAATAAAATTTCGTGCCTTCGATTTACAAATAAAATATCTAAATAACAAGATGAAGAAGAGCTTGTTAATATCGAATAGGTGATGTCCCATTTCTGTGTGAACCGCAAAGATATAATTGATGCGTCAAAGCTTATACATGCCTGATATGATCTGTACATGCACATCTCCATAATATATCTTACAGTATGATGTACATATATGTATATCCGGTAAAGAATATCATTTTTTTACAATCTATTCTACAAAACTGACTCTACAATAACGTTTACAACTTCTTCGATAAAATCCCGTCTTTCCATTAAAAAAAAAAAGTAAAAATAAACTGGAGATGCACCGATCGTTCCAGTGTTCCCGGAAACACTTGTAAAAAAAAAAACTTGATCACGTGTTTCGCGCATCTCTAAAAAGCACGCGTTAGTTGTACCGATTCTGTATGCGTCAGACAAGATCCTGGATGGAATGTTTTCGTTAGTCTTATAATTATTTAAACACCACAAGGCAAGATGTTGCAGGAATGCGAATCCTTCAAGATTATGTAAGAACAATGAGATTCATTAATACTGGACGTCAAATTGTTAATAATACTACGTCACGTTCGATGAATGTTAAACGAAATGATCGAGTTAGGTAACGAAATTTTTGATCAAGCGTACGTAGAGATCAAATTAGTGAGGACGATTCACAAGGCTGTGCTCTCTATCGGTGACGAGGCCCGGTTAGGCGTGTAACATCGTTCCGGAGTATGGCACATATCTGGTGTGTGCCTACCGTCCCTCAATTGAACGAAATCCAAATCCGCGAAGAAGTCACTCTTCATCGTACCGACTGCACTATCAGAACCAAAACTGTCCTGTCTGCACAGATCAACGTTCTTGTAACACCCTGCATACTCTGTCAACGAATTAGGCAACTTTCCATCGTACACGGGCTTCTTCGGTTCGGGGTTTGATTCTTGGATGGATACGCAGTCTTCTTTGTTAGTCTCGTTTCGTGCATTATAAAGGAAATCTTCGTTCTTGGATATACTTGTGTTGGAGCAAACACTGTCTGTATAATGAAGCAGCGTGTTTTTCCTCAAACCATCTTCTTTACATAGACTATTCTTTTGCAAGGTAGGGTAAGGCGAGTAGTCTTTGTAGATATTCTTCGCTGTACAGTCCAGCACTGTGAGGCTTCCCTGTCTGGACAATATACTACCGATATCTGATACATTACTTTCCTGCCTAGTAACTCTATCATTAGGCTCTTCCATTCCTTCTGAGTTTGCCTTCGATTGCAATGAAGTGCTGGTAGTCGCTTCCTGCTGGTTTTTCTGTGGTGAAAAAGCGCTTTTCGGTGACTCCTTCGTTGGAGAAATCTTAGTCCTTCTCAAATAAGAGCCAGTTGACGATTTAGAAGCTTCGCCACTAGCCTTCTTCGTATCTTCATTCTGTCCATCGACCTTATCCTTCGATTTGCCGATCTGCTTCAAATAGGAACTGACAGAATTCCCCTCCGATATTTTGAACTTATTCTCCAGCTTAGTCCTCGACGGACCACCGTTCGAATTATATTCACCAATCTTTTCGGCGGACTTACAATTCAGATTATTCACTTTGTACGAGCACTTGTTATCGATAATGTACTCAGGAGTGTCTGATAAAGAGCACGGACTCGCTCTACCCACGTATCGAATCTTTCCAATAGTCGGTATTCTTTTCAAATCCGACTCGTCGTTCTGCTTTACGTACGAGTCCTGTTTGTCACTGGACGAATCAGACTTGCTACCCTGCCTCGAAAAACATCCGGTGAATCCACCGGACTCTGGAGATACAACGACCTCCGGTTTTTCTTCCTTGGACCTCGAGTTCTGCCTCGAGTAACTATTCGTAGACGCTTCACTCGTTTTACTGTTTTGTCTCGTGTACCTCCCTCGAGGAGTTATCACGTCAGGCACTTGGAGCGTATTGCTATTGGGCGCATCTTCGCGTTCCAAAGTGCTGTCGTCGCAAAAACCGCGTGGTTTCGTTTCCTGATGCACTTGACCTTCCTTGATAAGCTTCAATTGCGGGGGCATAGTCTCTGGAGTAGTGGAGCCGCTCGTGCTCGTGCTGGGCCCCGTATAATTTCTGATATCGAACTCTAAATCCGACGGCAATTCGACACCCAACGATAAATGCGTTGCTAATCCATCTAACCAAACCTGCATCACCTCGAACGGAGGCCTCTTGTCGGGATTTAAATCGCAGCATAGGAAAGCGATCCTGTAAAACATTTCTGGACAGTTCGCACAGAATTTCTCCTTAAACACATGTTGATTCAATCCAAAGTCTTTTGATCTTGGTAGGTAATCAGGATCCGCGTAGACCCTCCCAATTATTTCGCAGACGACGATACCAAAACTGAATATATCTACTTTCTCGTCGTATTTATTCCCGTTCATCATTTCCGGTGCCATCCAATACGGATTTCCGACGACCGTGTATCTCTTCTTCCGTTCTCTTCTCGACGTTCTCGGCTCTCCGTCGGAATGTCTGCTGTATTTGTAATTGTCGGGTGAATTGCCGTTTTGCATTATCCTAGCCAAGCCGAAATCGGCCACGACCACAGTCTTATCTTCGCGCACGAGACAATTGTGCGAATTCAAGTCTCTGTGAATGATATTCATGGAATGTAGGTAAGCCATGCCGGCGGCTATATCTTTAGCGAACGACGCACGCTGTTCCCACGGCAGAATTTCGTTCGTGTCGTGCAGCAACGCTCTCAGAGTTCCTCCTGCTATGTGTTCGGTGACCAGGTGTAACTTCTTGTCTTTGTAAAGAACGCCGATGAACCGGAGAACGTTATTGTGATGTAGCGAACGTAGCACGGCAACCTGGATTCAAAAGAAAAATTACATATTTCATATAATGATGCGTGCAGTATAATAGTAATTGGCAACGATTCTTCTGCCCGTTTTATCTCGTGGAGCTTACCTCCTTTAAGAAATTCTTCTGAGCTTCCTCGTCTACTCTGTACAGTTCTTTAAGCACCATCACTTCGTTGGTGTCTCTGTGCGTGACTTTGAACACTTGCCCGAAAAATCCTGTACCCAATAACTCGCCCTTCACTAGATCGCTGGCACGGAATATTCTTTGATTCTTTGGTTCAACGCGAAACGATCTAGTCCTGCTCAAATCGCACGTAGGATTCGTTGCTGCGGATCTGCTGACACAAAGTAAAATCGACTTGGAAAATGTTTTGGATGAATATTTATTCTGTTCTTGGACGTTTTGATACGTACCCATCTAGAAGACGCGACATGGAGCTGCTGCGTCCTTTATGCATAGGATCTCTGGTACGCCGCAGTTGTCTGCTTCGCGTTCCACTGATGTATCCCTCGTCCCGACGTTTGAACAATCGTTCTTTGTTGTCAGGACTCGTTCTTGGACTCGCGACAGACGTAAGCATCGCCGCGGAAGGCGAGGAATACGTTGGTTGTCGCGACACTGCGTCCGGGTCGTGTTCAATAGTTAGCTAGAAAAACGAGTTCGATAGATCCATTATTAAGATTATAAATACTAAATAATTTATGTGATAACAGCTGCAGATTACCTGTACGACTGTGTCGGAATATTGTATAAGATTTTCGATGCTCTCTATGGGTTGATCCTTGACCGGAGTCCCGTTTACTTCGAGTATTCGATCGCCGATATGTAAAGACATGAGATCGCTGGGCATGTTCAGTCTGTAAAACAATTCATATGATATCTCCAGTGTTTGAACATCTGCTCGTTCTAACAAGACATGCAAAACTTTGCGTGCATTCGATTCGATTAAATGTGAAACTAAATAGAATTAGTTTAGGTCGTCTGACTCAATCATATTCAAGAAATACAAATTACAGTGAATGATAGATCTGAGGTTTCACTACGTATATATTCTGTCACTTCAATGTGGACGGTACATGCTCACAGACTTATGCAGTACATATATTACAAAATAAACAAATAATATTACACAGAAGGAGACTGTATTGCACAGAGTGTATGTCTAGCGTGCAGTTAAGTAGCGGATACGAGAAGACACACATATCTAACTTGTAGAAAAATTACGTCTAGTGCATATTATTTATTTGTTATGCTGTACCTATGATTAGAGAAGTGGCAGCATAGCCTAAATAGAACCTCCATCACAGAGGCCAACAGCTTACTGATCTTTCCACGCACATTTCTCATTAACCTGCATTTTAGTTCAATGTTATTAACGACTGTTCGTCTACCTCTGCTTTAGGTACAACTAGATTCATGCTCATGTTATAAACATTATACTATAACTTTGAATAATCTTTATTCCTCGTTTTGCACGTTCATCAAAGTTCTTTCTTAAATCACTGAATTTTATTTCTAATTAAGAATCTTGTTATACGTACTCTGATATGCGTAGCAAAGCACCACAATTTCGAGGACTAGGAGTTGTGTCTAATGTTAGTTTGATTCCTCTCTGCTTTTCAGGATCCGACGTGTTCGGGGGTATCTCCACTAATCTGATGCTATGCGGTTTCCTCGTGAAGTGATTAGCTGTCCTATTGACCGGCTGCATCTGCCTCTTGTAACAATTGCCGCAGTACAACTTGGATCTCTCGACAAGGGCATAACTCTCCCCGTCCCCGATGAAAGCTCCGCAAGAGTTGCAGGTAAAGCATTCTGGGTGAAATTTGTGATCTCCCGCCAGCATGACGGGACCCGTGATGATCTGGCCGCAGCCCTGACAAGCTTCACCATAGGCAGCCCAGTAATCATCTTTACAAAACAGCAACCCATCCTTCTCAAAATACCACGAGGAGAGGCCGATGTCGCACGCTGAACATCTACGAAAAGATCAGGTTTTTATTGAATTACTTATGTTCCGACTAGCGAACGTCAGTTCGTATTTCATTTTAATCACCGAAAACAATCGATGTGCCATTCTTGATTCAACGCCTGTATGAATTCATCTTCGTCGATAGCGTTGAGACATCCGGCGCACGTTAACGTCCCGCCACTTTCTCCACTCCCCACGTCTGAAAAACGTGAAAAACATATTTAAGAATAATCTCCACACGCGAAAATTCCGTCGTCGATTTGGTCTTTACGTTGTTCCATTTTACGTGTTCGTTCCGGGTTGTGTATTTACGTTAGCACATGCGTTTTTGTGTGACACTGTAAGGTGACAGGAATTCCAGAGAACATTGAGAAACTGGAGATTAAAACGGATGCAAATTCATCTACTTTCTTCAGATATGAACAAATTCGTCGAAGAGGAGTGCATTAGATCTCAGCGTTTACGAAAACAAACAGGACGTAAGCAGTCGGACGGAAAAGAGCGCGTCAGGGACGTGTAGTAGGAAGGAAACGTGATTCACGGTTGACATTAGGTAAGCGTTCAGCTTATATCAACCAGCTGACGACAAATCGGATCTTCCCGAAGGATCTGCGGCTTGTCAATGAGAAAGACTCGTCACCATGACCGCGAGAGCTTCTTCAGAACATAATACGCTCGCTAATACTCGAGGAGTCGAATAGAATTCGTGAGAACGCGTAAATAAAGAGCGTGGGCCAGGAGACTTGGAAAGCAGGACGCCCACGCGATCCACCAAGGATCGAGCGTACACAGAGAAATCGTAGATCGTTTCGTATGCCTCGTACACAACCCGTAACATTGCACGGTTCCCAGTATACGAATCTTGTCGGTCAACTCCCAAATAACATTGTATTCTACCAAAAAAGACATACCGTTTGACGAAACTTCATCCATCACAGCATCTATAGAACTGGAACTGACCGACCGAACTGACACACTCCCACTCCCACTACTCCGTGCTTTAATCGTTGACTATAGACCGTCTAGAGTCCAGACTGTGAATCCATTCTCCGATGCAGAACGTAGTATGCATCAGCGGGAAATTTAACTCGAGTTAGGATAAAATAGAGAAAGCAGTAAAACAAGTTCAAGTATTTGCAAGGAGGTAGTCGTTTATTTCTCACAATATTTGGTCTTTGATCCTAATCGAATTACATTCGTCTACACATAGATTAGAATTCCTCGTGCAAGTATATATACTGCAAATAATTTGAAATTGTGAGCTTATTCTTATGCTATAACCAGAGAGAAAGTTTATAATATAATATAAATATTCTCCGTATGACTATCATAGATCAAAATGTATACAAGCATAATATAATACGAGCAGTAGTATTACAAGCAAACGTTAAAAACGTAGACTATATATTATATATAATAATAATATATGTAAAATCATTCATTTTACGTTCAGTGGCACAGTAGTGAATCATCCTGAAAAATATTTTTTAACTCGAAGCGGACAATTTCAATGAAGCTTAACGGTAAAATCATGCGTCTACATCGAATATCCCGGATGCCACTGTGCCATTAGTCAATCGAAGGTCTTTAGGGAACGAAGGTATTCCCGACGCGACGTATCAATGCGACACATTCAATCAATTGCACACTCTCCCGGCTGACCTTCTCGAGATATTTACAAAATCCGAATAATCCGCACAGTCGTCAAGCGACGACTTCCGGTTCTCCCCGCGGAGGCCTCATCGATTAGTTGAGCACCGAGGCCGTAAACAACGAACCGACGATATTATATTTCTACGAGTAAAACTATACAGCGATTTTATGGTCTGAGTAGATAATTTCAATCACAGTAAGAATTGTGCAGTTTTCCCGTTGGTTCTTGGTAATTAGTCGAAGCAACCAATTTTCGACAGGAAAATGGATGAACAATGTTTCGGAGAGATTAGAAACTCTTTAGAAGCATGAAATCGACAAGGTCAATCTCTTTTTTCGAGCTCCCAGCTTACAGTTACCTATTAAAAATTTTGGATATACATAATGTGCTGCGGCCATTGAACTCGTTTTCACGTGCCACCGGGATTAAAAACAGAAAGCACTGTTCTCAGACTTCTATAAAAATTCCAATAAGTTCATTGATCTCTTCAATCTTGGTTGATAAAAGTGAGCAATAAGTAGTAGTTTCCGATCAACTACGATGCTTTTAGCTAGCGTCGGTCTTTAAAACTATGTATATCAAGCAGAGATTTGTTGAATATTCAAAAATCTAAGCTATAAAGAGAGTAGAAAATCGTAAACCTTGTGATATTCATTGGTACTGTTTGCATGAGTCGATGCAATAGCTGTTTTGGCAAGTATAAGTTGATAAACACTTGCATCAGTTGTATCTCATTACTATTTTTTTATAAAATCATATGTATTGGAAATTTTTTTAAGGGATGTGGACCATTTATACAGATCTTTCATTTTTATCATTTCGTAATGCAAAATCCGCCTCATCACATTATATTCATCGACTCAACGCTGAAATCTTAATCTATAGACAATCGTTGCTAATGCCAGTGTTAAGCATTGGCACAGCAATAGCACCGAGTGATATGCAAGAAAACGAACCCCATTTCAGTGATGTAGTTCTAGCGAAACCTTCTTCGATCTTTGAGAAAAATTCTAAATCAATTTCTCGAAGGTCAATGCCAAAACTGCTACCTTTAAAGTTTCACGTTAAAAGAGTAGAGTAGGAAAAATCGCGCAACCTCCAATTGCACTTTGCTTGAAGAAAGTGCAAAAAAGAATTTTGCCGTTCACCTCGAACCGTAAAAACAACAAGTCAGCATTGCGCTTTTTTACTTTCGAATTGCCCATTCTGAAACAATTCCCTTCGTTGCCCTCGATTTCTGCACGCATTCGAGGACAAACCCGATGAAGAAAAGGAGCTGATAAAAATTCTGATACGTCTCTATCAGTGACCATCTCAAACCACTTACCAGGAAAAAGTTCCTTAAGGAACTAGTGTTAAAAAAAATCCAGCAATAATGCAAATTTATGAACGACTGTGAACGCGTTCGATTACCAGGGTCAGCGTGAAAGGGTTGCGCGCGTAATTATCCTACTCGTTGGAACTCTGTTTAACTTCAAAAACTTTCCGGTCCGTCCTTCTTGCGTATCCGCAACAGCTAGTTCACGTTCAAGGGCATTAGCGGGACGTACTTGTCGCTGGGTCGGAATTTGTACTGGGAGCACAACCGGTTTGACACTGATTCCGTGTAACCAGTCCTGTAACAAACGGACCATAGAACAATTACCGAACTAGCCCTTTGAAAGTTTAAACGAGAAGAATAGGTCCCAGGAGAAAGGAAAGAATCGTTAAAAGAATCGTCGAGAGATCTGCGACCATCACCATAAGTCTCCATCACCGAGTTACCCTGTAGGATAGAATAGATTTTATAGAATTACGTTCAGTCACGCGTAGCCGCGAAGGAAATTGTGTTTCTTTTTCAAGATGTCGTGCATCGCCTGGAGCAAAGTCTTGAAGAAGAGGACCTTGTGGGCGTAAAAGTCTCGCGGCGATTCCGTGAACTCGTACCGCGTCGAATTCATCCAGAAGTACACGGGACAACTGAGAAAAGTGACCAGCTTGTTCATTCAACAATGCAACTACACTGATACAACGAATCACTTTAAAAAGAAAAATATATTTTACTCTTACATGAATCTCTTGAAACCTCACCTCTGCCATTGAGAACACGGGCGCCTCTCCTTGAAGCAAGTCACCTGAACCACATTAAAAAATAGAGCTCCGAGAGTGTTCGCCACTTCCGAGTTAAGATTTTGCAGACATCTACGGAATTTGGCATCGCAATCGCAGTGGGATCGCGTGAACGGCGCGTTGTTGCAAATGCCGTTCATGCATGTATTCGGCGGTATCGTTATAGGACAATGGTCGTGCTCCCTGCAGCAAATATCCTCGCCACGGTGCTGGCCAAGGTCATCGTAAGACGTCGCGAGAGTGCCTGGACCGCACCATTTAGTACCCGGATAGATCAGTCCAGCGCCTGGAGGCTGATTCTAACATAAAACAAGAATTGTCAAGTAATCACGAATTTCCAGGCAGGTAGATGCCTGATCGTCACCTTTCCCTTCTCGCGAGAGGCTTTGCACGTCTCCTCCAAGTCTGCCACGAGGTTGCTAGACATTTGCCGGACCTTTTTGGGATCGGCACCGAGTACCATCTTCTGGATGACGCCGCGATCCGTATATAAGGCACAGAAGGGTGCATCTGCGTTCAGTTCTACCATTCTGGACATAGTGTTGTCTGCCACCAAAACGCTGGCCTCGGTGTTGTCACCCGAGAGTATCGGTATCAATAATAATAATATCGCAAGCATCTGTAAAATTCAAATCGGTCGAGAATCACTTTTCATTTATTTAAAATTCTGATTATTGTTCACCTCGCGTCTACCTTACGAGGATCCTCCACCTATTTTTATCAATGAATATTTATGTTATGATTCAACGTTATATAATTTATTGAATGACTGCGCTAAAAGGTTTCGCAGAGACAAAACAAATAACTTATTTGACACGTTCATTGCCACGAAGGCCGCCAGTGACATCATTGATTGAAAGTAAAAGCCTTCTCTTCCTCGGTATAAGTGTCAGATCCGATCGTTTCGTAAAACGACAAGTGCGTATGTTCGATTCTTAACGGAGATAAACACCCCTCGACCGGTTCTGTCCCTCGAAATTGCACTCGTAAACTAACTCCCAAACGGGGACAGTGGGTCGACTATTCGCAAACGTTTCCCAACTCTTCGGTGACTCTACATGGAGTGTACCGACATCAATGACTTTGTACTTCAGTTTCACTTAAGTACACAGGACTAACGATTGCATCGAATATTAATGTGGCCGATGATTAGTACGTTCATTCGTTGAATTGGTAAATGTAATTTTTAATTCCTCGATATTTTTCATTTTAAAACCCCTATCTCTCTCCCCTAAGTCCCCATCAGCCAGGACATTGCGACGGTACGGATTTAATGAAAACTGATTGCATTACGTGGACAGGATATTTCTTTCTTAATCCGGCATTAATCGTTACTCGTTTGACCTGCTCGAAATAGATTGTCCGCAGGAATTCCGGTCGCTTTAACGAGCAAGTCGGGGGGGTTGGTCAATTAAACATAAAACGAAACGTTTCTTGCTCAGCGAAGCCACCGTGTCCGTGACGGAGATTTACCTTGGCTGTTCCTTCGCCAAGCGTCTCTTTACTCTTTTTCTCTCCTTGACACATTAATCAAACAGTTCCAATCGTTTTGTTCTTCTCGGCTACTTTTTGTTTTAATTATTCGCGATTATTCATTACTTATTTCTTTTCGAATGCTAAACAGTGATAATAATTAACAGACTCGGCTAAATAATTCAAGGTCCGTCATGCGTCCGTGTATCATCAAGCGTATTGAATTAATTAAGAATCATTTTGCAGTTGAAACGAGATATCATTTAACTGTGAGGATTTAAAAGGTTTTCTATTACCTATTTCCTAGATGCTTCTCTAATTTCCTCTATACATACCAACGACGATCTGCGTCACTGCTATCAATCTATTCCGGCCAATAGAATAATCATTGCAATGGGACAAATGTAAAATCACTTACTGTCGATTTACAGAAATGTATCCACGCGACAAGATAGATCTGAGATTTCTTCCACACGAACGACTCCCTCTGTTCTCCATCTACCACCGCACTGTACACGCTGAATAACAACTGGATAAATTGTTTATCGACTCTGCAAAATATTTTCTCTTACTTGAGAGATATGAATCGCGAATCGAGGATCGACATCACCGATCCGAAGCTGCGACTGAGAGGAACGTCGCGCGACTGATGGTGCTGAAACCTTTCTCGAGATTCGTTTTCAAAGATCCTTCAAGGACGACGGTAAAGGTCGAGGGGAGATAAGGAACAAAAGACGAAGGCTCCGCGCCGGTCGTCCTTCCCTACGAAATCGCGAAAGAGATCGGTGAAATAAAACCGAGAAGAGGCGATCTAAGAGGCGAGGGCGATGAACGACCTTGCGAATCCCGGCGAGCATGTCTCGATACGGGACGATTTTAAATCGCGTTTAAACATCTTCTCTGGAGGATTATCGGTCGTCAATCTTTCTTACGCGATTATGGAAATTCGATGACGATTTTATGCAATTATGGGTGAAGCCTAGAATAAATCGTCGCTTTTTAAATTAACATCGCAAATATATTTTAAATGAAAATCTGCGGTCTAGCGATTGGATTGCGGATTGTACATCAAAGAGCTTTTATTACCTACTTCGATTGATGAGAGGAACGAAGTGAAAGTAATGGGAAGCATACAAGTTGTAGGAGACGACGAATAACTGTCATCGATAGAGTATATAAAAGAGCGATCGATGGAGATTCAATTCAATTAGAGTTATTAGATTGTCCCAGTTGAGGGAGGTGGCTGATCCTGCGAACGTCACGCGAGAATCGTCACCCTACGTCACGGAATTGAGCCAGATATCTGGGTCAGCTTGACGAACTTGTCTCTTGAACCTGCACCGATTCGTACATATTAAACGTGATGATCCACCCTATCAGCGAGGGTCACCAATCGTCGTTACATCTTGTTTGATTAGCATTGCGAAGTGCACCAGAAAAATTCTTTTACTCTCAATAAAAAGAGAATATGTAATCCTAACAGAAGTAAAGGTGTTCAAAGAAACAGCTGGAACGTTCGTAGAAGCAACAGCTGCTTTCCAAGAAACAAATTATCAACGTTACCGGTTCGTTCATTCGAATTAGAAACGAAAAGGTGACGATATAAATTACAGTATATTAACGAAGCAGCGCAATCAGCGGGATCAGCCACGGTTACGACTCGAGGAATCGCTGACTACGTATACACGCGCCACTTAAATCGATCAATTTACCCTATGAAGAAGTTGTGCACGTGCAGCGACGAGGATATGCAATGTCACGATCACCAAAGGACGTAAGCTCGGCTCAAACGGGTCAAACGATTTCGCGAGGATAGACGAGACGGCGAGTTAATCGGGACACGTTCGAGTCGAGGGAATAACACGAAACTCACTGATAAAGGTGGCAAAGTGCGCGAGGGGGTGCCGGCACCTCCCCCACCGATGGCTGCGCACCCCGGAAACCGCAACGCGACTCGAGCTGCTGCAGTGCGCAACAACCCCGTCGCCGACCCACGCTGATCCTGTGAAATCTCGAGATAACTAACGCGCGATCACGACTCCCTTGATTATTCCTAATTGGGATCTCCAGCTAATGAACATATTGAGATTCACAGCGTGTGAATATAAATTTTATTAAATTCGAACATTTTCTGGGCAACGTGTACATTTTTACATGTTTAAATCTACGAATTTTCAAAAGATTCGTTCTTATCAAGAAAAATTATTAGGAATCATCGTTAATACGTAATGGCTCTCGAGTATCTCGTATCTTAATAGGTGTGTAATTTCATCGAGTTCATTACAGGTTTCAAAGGTGAATACAATTCCGTGCAAAGGTATCTCTTTCCGCTCAATTTATCCGGAATGCAATCATCGTCCCGCGTACAATTCCTCTTCCTATACGATTACAAAAAAATTCCGTTCGCGTTGTATTCCAAAATTCGTCGATTCGCGGATATCGTTTATCGATTCCCCGCGCGTATTGTTAAAGGAAATATATATTTTGAATAATGTATGCGTGTGGAGAGTACGCGTTTCGAATGTAACTCCGCGCCTTATCACACATCGAAACGTTCTCCCGAAATTGCCAAAGCTTCAGAAATTTTTCATTACTCATACCCGAAGATTCGAAAAGAGAAAATATATAATGTAAACGTACGTTATTTACTTATGGTATCGTTCAGCTTCCAGCAGTATCCTTCTTGGCAGGATTTTATTCTATGATCTCACTGAAGACTCTTCGGAGAAGATTCTTTCGGTGAAGGATGCTCTTCCTTTGGAATAATTCGCCTTATGTCTCTGCAGCGGCCACTATCAAACTGATCGTTGAAACGGGTCGTCAGGATACTAATATTCTGTGGCATAGATATATGGAACCCGTGGTCCAGATTGCATGGGGGAGATTTCAAATCACGTGATACGCGTTTGCAATATATCACACCGTTTTAAATAGGTTTAATCAGCCCAGGACACGCAGTACTCTTCTCTCCACTAAAGTTTCGCAATCACAAAATGCAATCTATTAAATACCCCTCGTATTGCAGACAACTTGCTGTAATGTAATTTGCATTCTGTCTTGATTACAACTACGTTTCAATTTTTTAATTTTAATTTCTTATAAGAATACATAATTGAGGGTGATGAAATACACTATTTTCGTGTTTTAAAAGGACTTTATTTTTGTTCATCAAAAAAAATAAAAATGTCATATTCGTAGTCTTTCGTTCTCGTCCTACTTCTAATCCGATTACATTCAATCTTATTGCAAGATTCTATCAGTAATAAGTCAAAACAAAAATGAAAACGTTTATTTTAATCGCGATCGAGATATTCAGAAGATCTACGGGATCCATTCTACTTCGTTCGTCTCGTAACCCCTGGTAATAGCTCCTCTGGTGTTCTCCTCCGGTTTAGTGGTGCCCTTCTCCTCGCTTCCGGCTATCTTATGGTACACCTTGCTGCTAGCATTGGCCACCCATTGAACACCGTCTCCAATCTTCTCCCCAGCCTTGCGTACCGCGTTGCCTAAACTCTCCGCTGTGAACGTGCTCGGGTCCACGTTTATATCAAGCGTGTTGTTACCGTGCGGGCATCCGGTCTGAGAGATAATGCTCAGATCGTAAGGGTCGACACCGAACAAGCTCAGCTTCTGGCGGAGCTGGTCCACGTATTCCTTGTCCAATTCCCGGCGCCTCGAGAGAATCGTCGCGCTCTGACGATGAGCGAATCCCAATTTTTGGCACGTGAATATTCCAGCGTAGTTGTCATAATCCGTAGAGAAAATCACGTGAGACGCGCTTCCGGCAACGCCTTTAAACAAATTGCATTTAGTCATTTAATTGAAGTACTTTCATAGAATAGTTTAGAGCTAATTTTTGCACCTATCTGATGAGATCGGAGCGTTAAAATCAAGATTGCGTGATACTTACTAAGGGGAAAACGAACTTGCATTCGAGCGGGCGTGCTGGGTTCCGGTACAGTCAATTCACCGGTGTAATGGTACTCATGTTTCAATGGCGTAAGACCTGCACATAGAAACGTCGGTTCATTACGGATAATTCATCCCACTTGCCAGACATTTATCCTATTGACATGCTTTTATGACTGCCGATGGGTTCTCCGTCTCTATTAATTCAAAAGCTTCCAGTAATATATAGGTCCGCGCTGGCTGTAAATGGAAACCCTTGCTTTTTCTGTTGCGATTATTGTTAGAGCTGCTAAACGGATATCTCGTTAAATCTTTCAATTAATTTTTTTCATTTTACCTAATACTGGATGATCGGAATCTTGAGTTATAACGTATTCGCCTGGTTCCTCGCCACGGGTGTAATTATAAGTGATGCACTTGCTGGCAGTCGACGTTTTTTGAATCACGTACCATATCCCTAGAAACTAGATTCAAAAATATTTCAATTTAATTTATATAAAACCGCTTAGAATAATTATTTAGCTTACCCTGTTGATTTGAAATCCCTGCATCGGTTCCACGATGGGACAGGCGCCCATGTGATACGTGTGCGCTCTGGCTAAAGCCAGGCATCCCACCAGAAATATTAACGAGAATAACGTCTTCATCTGATAATGAAAGCAATAATTATTATTGTAAAATGATGCATTTATATAATCGATGTAGATAAGAATTCTTAGCATCCATTAATTTTTTTGTGAACCAGGAAAATTCGAGAGAAACAAATTAGCAAACATTTATCTATATTGGAAGATACTGTTGAACTCCAGATTTAGAATCAAATGTAACAATTATTAAGTTGAAACCCCAGCCGATATTCGTACTTCGTAGATCCTCGTCCAACAAAAAGGCGAACACATCTCATAAAATAAATAGTTAAATATCTGGATCATTGAACAATCTAGTTTCCGGAACTACGAACAAAGATTCCACGAAAGTGAATTGTAGTGGGAAGATTAAGATCGACCTTAATGACCTCAGTTCTTTGCCCCGAAGGCCTTCCGATTTATCAACAGTATCTCATGAATATTCTGCATCATGTACATATTCAGTATGCAGTCAACGAAATGTGCTTTACATCTCTCGTTAATTGGTGACGTTAATTACTGTTAGCGTAGCGGAAGACAGAGTGACATTTCAAATTTGTACAAAACAACAGGACACTTAGGCAGTGTCCTTATCTCAAGGCCAAGAGTATTTTATATATGTTTTACATATTATAATAATGATTCTCAAATTGAAGGAACAATTTCAGTCGATTTGAATCGTTGTGATATAACTTAACAAGGAACGGTCTTGGAACGGAGAAGTGACGCGCTTAAAATGTCGAACGGGCGTACTCACTGCGAACTGGTCTTGTCAGTCTCTGAACTGAACTGGTACTATAAACAGTAGCTACGATGGCGAAGGATTTTATGAGAGATGCCCCACTCTCAATCCACTTATGATTCACGCACACTTTGAGTGAACTACCACCGACGGGACGTCCAACACGTTATTCCCAAAGAATCCAAAGAAACGAAACAATTTCTCTCATTTCCTTGTAAACGATTCTATTTCAATCTTATCGTATTGATAGACTTCAGATTTTTATGCATTATGCACACAAGTGTCTTAAAATTTTGGTATTGGTATTAAGAAGCAATATATGTGTTAGGATGTTTAATAAATAAAAACAAAGCATATCTAAAATTCATTACATTTTAAATACTTTATTTTGTAATACTTAATTTCTAGAGACAGCAGAGGATATAATTTTGGGTAAAAAAATGCACTCACTATTTCATAGTAGAACCTTTTATTAAAGTACAAAATAGTTTAGACAAGTAGTATCGTACAATATTAAACTTAAATAGTAGACCGTTGCTCGGCACGTACGACACAAAACACAATATGGAAATGTTCAGACTTGTAGAAAAAAAAAAGCGGCTTATCCATGCCTATTAAATGAAGTCAAACATACGGGTACCGTTCAAGTTTGCTACATCGCTGTTTCACGATGAGTCATCTTCCCGTCCATAAGCGAATCAAGCTGATCGTTCTAAGAATCATTAACACCACATACGGTTTCGTTTTTTTTGTTCATGATAATATAACTTAATTTACGCGTTATGAGATAAGAAAGAGATCTTCATTCTGCGAAAAATAACGGTAGTAGCATGACGCTACTTAGCTATGACGAAATACCGAGATTTTCCTGGTTCAACGCATCGAAAAACGTAACCGAATTTTTCTTTAGCACTGGGGTATGAAAGATATTTGTTAAAAATAGTATCATGTTCTCTTAACGAATCCGCTAGTTTCCTTATAATTACAGTTCTTTTAGCCTAAGTGATAAAAAAAATACTTTTTCTATTTGATAAAATATTGTCTGAAGGCACTTAATACTTAGTGATACTTTTGATTAAAACGATAAAATCCTGGAAATGATTTTATCGGTTTAAACTAAATTAAATATAACTACTAAATAACTTAAATATGTTTTGCATATTTCAGGATAGATCGAAACGTTAGCTATATCAATCGCGATATTTTAATATGCAAATATTCACTCGTACCGTTTATGCCGGTGGTATTTTTGAAGTATCGAGATCGTCGAAGTAAGGATGCTTCAAAGCCGCTCGCGCAGATATTCTATGCACAGGATCATAAATGAGCATCATCTGCAATAGATCCAATCCATCCCGATCCAACGTCTTCACTTGTGATTCTAAGTTATTGGTAACCCAATTCGGGAATGTCGCTTTGTAATCTGCTAATTGTGTCACTCCAGGCCATATCTCTTCAGTGGGTGTCCTCAGTATCCTACAACGTGCATCGATTGTTAATTCACATTCTGTTAAATCGCGTTCAATAGGACGTACCGAAATATTCTGAACAGTTGATCAATTTCACTGTCTCCTTGAAATAGTGGTTTCTTCGTAGCCATTTCTGCAAAGATACAGCCAATGCTCCAAATATCAATTGGGCAAGAGTATCTGCTGACACCAAGGAGAATCTCTGGAGCTCTGTACCACAAAGTTACCACTTCGTGCGTATATACTCTGACTGGAATCCCGAATGCTCTTCCAAGACCAAAATCTGCTACCTTGATCAATCCTGATTTGTCGATCAACAAGTTTTGAGGCTTCAAATCACGGTGAAATATTCTGCGCTTGTGGCAAAAAAGAACTGCATTCGTAATCTGGAATTAAATCCCATAAAATTAGTCTCAACTTCCAAAACGTATCTGCTAATCGATCCATGCAAAGTCCAAAACTGTACAAACCTGATATAAATAAGATTTGACCATTTTTGGCTCCATCAATTTCCCAGTACCTAAACTATCCATGTACTTCTTCAGGTCCATAGTGAGGTATTCAAAGATCAGATACAGTCTGGTTTCTTCTATCAGTACATCCTTCAGCTTGACAATATTAGGATGAGGTAACTCCTTGAGCAGAGAGATCTCACGAATCGCAGTAGATGGAATACCTTCATCATCACTCTCTAAACGAATTTTTTTCATAGCCACGATCTCTCCAGTTTTCTTATGCTTCCCTTTGTACACGACTCCATAAGTGCCTACAAATATTTCAAAAAAACTTCGATCGGAAGCATACTAACGGGATTCAGAAAATCGATTTCATTCTTATAAAATCGATTTCATTCTCATAAAATTCATTAACGAACGATCAACAAGTTCAAGCTACGTATTTCTTGAATAAAGAGAACAAACATCAAAGCAAAAATGAGAAACACCGACAAAGGAGTACAGGTTGCAAAGTATCGAAAAAGTTCACCTTCGCCGATCTTTTCAATCTTCACGAAATTCTCCATAACGAATGCACACTGTTGAACTGAAGGCTAGCCGATATTTTCTCCTAAATTGTGGCAACAAGCAAACCCCGAATATTGTTGAATTTCATACACCTTTCGCAAGCTTTCCCAGCGTTCTACGATGTAACGATCATATTCAAACTTCAATGCGCCATATTCGTAAACACGTTTGAGTTTAACGTTCGGTTTGCTTCGTAACGTGTCGGCCTTACCATAGCCACCGAAGAGATGGCAGCACCCGAGTAATCGTTGGGACTAAATGGGGACTAAATGGGGCCCAAAATACAGTCGGTAACATTTGGAGCTAACAAGTGATTGACAGCTAGAAATACAACTTCTGTCTGAAAAATTTTTCTCTGGGACGAAGAACAACAAAAAGCAATAATTATTCACAAACCCGGATTTGTATTACTGTTCATAATCATCTTATTTAGTTAGGTATGTGTGTTAGGTATGTGCAATTCGTTTGAGAATGGGGAAAGAAATTAAAAGACTATTGGCAATCGTTTGAAAATGTTTATTTGAAAAAAGAAGACAAACACTGTACCTGTGTGTCACTGTACGTTCCATGTATTTATACATACTATGCAACTGTATTGATAGAATGAAATTATATTTAGCATAAAAAGACTGTTAATCAGTTCTCTCGCCCAGGAACCAAAAGATAATTAAAGGCAGATTGCTGTCAAGTCGAAAACAAGTACAGAGTTCCTCTTCCAGAGACTTAATAAAATTATTTCTTCTCTCTTTTCCGTGCTTGGAATATAATTACATTATTCTCACAAAGATCCTTTTGGATATTGGCGTTGCAAGCGTAAGAACTGTTCTACGGTCACTATTTATAACAACTTCGAAATGAAAACTCTGTATTGCAATCGACCCGACGAAGTTGCATTAGATGTCAACAGAAAAGATTCCACGTTGCACGTGTCATCAGTAAACGTAAACTTTTATCATTCATACATTTTGATCATGTTTTATCGAGGAAACTGATAGCCTCCCGTGGCATAGCCAAGTCCAACGCCACGTTGCGTGTGCGTGGTAGCACGTGCTACTTCATACTGTTGTTCCATATTGTTGAACATCTCTTCCTGTTTCTTTAATATATCTGGTTTGGCACCCGCCGCGGGAGTAGCGGGCAAATCGTCTTTAATACCCATCAATCGCTTGAATTTCGCAGTTACTTTTCCATCTTGGTCATGTGTAAAAGTCGTCCCTACCCAAGTATTCGCGGTAGAGGCTGTCGTGGACGTTCTGCCTTCATCTGGTTTCGACTTCAAAGTTCAAACTCAATTAAAAATAGTCAAAAAAGCAAATCGTGTAACAAAAGATCACCGTTAATTACCTTGTTTGCCCATAAAAGTTTCCTCTTCTGTATTTGCTCCGCGTATTTTCCCTGCGTCGCCGTGGCCAACGGGTTGTAGTAATTTTGTTCATTTTGAATGCCCGGGGTCGCAGCGTCACCCTCTGGGGCTTTAAGTTCGATCCCCAGCTTCTCCAATTGTGCCAATTTGTTCCTGCCCTTCTCTTCCCTGTAGCTCATTGTTCGGAAAGGCGGCGGTGCGCGATCTCTTGATCGCGATCTGGACCTCGTCCGATCCTTTTCTTTGTGGTAACTAGTTCGCTCGTCCCTGTAGCGATCCTTCGATCTGTCGTCCCTAGAGTGGCGGCGATCTCGGTCCCTGTCCCTGTCCCTGCGCCTGTCCCTCTCATTTCTGTCACGGTTTCTATCCCTTCGATCCTCGCGGTAATGATGATCTTTATCAATTTTCTCCTTCTCATCGCTCTTCTCATCCCTGCTCGCTCCCAACGAACTCCTCTCCTTCTTCTTATCATCGTCACGCGATTTTTTCTCATCGTCTCGACTTCTCCTTAGATCTCTGTCCGATCTGTGACTGCTCTCTCTTTGTCTCCTGTCATCGTAGGACGAACGACGGCCCTTGTCGCTCATGTGTCTGTTACGGTCAGATCTGTCTCCTCGTTTGTGTTCGTCTTTCGAGTTTGCTGTATGATTCTCATGATCAGATCGCCTGTAAAACGATTACGACGTTCTGCAGGGTATACCACACAGATTCGTATTATTATTCTGTTTGTCAGGGAGGTATTAAGTATGTTGCAACTTTGTCTTAACGAGTCGCATTGACTTTTTAATGATTTCTGAGGATATAGTATATATAATGCTAACGAACAAACCAGCTTACCTCTGGTCTGAGGGAGAAGTTAATGTTCGGGATGAATCTGTCCTCGACTGTGTCACCGGGCTGTGCGCTCCTTCGATGCTCGATTCTCTGGACGAATTGTTGTTGTTGCTTTCCTATTCAGATAAAAATTGGCCACGTTACTATGCACCTTTCACCCATTCCATTAAGTGAAACATAAAAATCTCGACTTACATCGCAACAACTATAAATATTACAGATTGTAAACGTTGATCTCTTTTGTTACCACCGATATGTTTGATAAAAAATCAACTTTTCACGCACTGGAAATTTATTTCAAAATCCACAAAATTTCAGTGTATGCAAAGATTGAATTTTTTAAGCCAACGATTTTGACAAAAAATAAATTCTTCTCGTTGTAGCCGATACAAAATTGATCTGGTATAGTTGAAGAAAATTAATGAAAGAAAGAGAGAAAGACAGGTATATAAGAGGGGGCCTCTGCGTTTATCTGCCTTGGCAGTTAGTTATATGTATTACCCGGATATGTTTTGTACATGTGGTTTCTTTGATGGTTGATTTTTTGTTAGTGTTACCTTCTTCTAGCTTCCTCTACTCACCTCTGTCTTCTGAATAGGACTTGGGGTAGTCTTGAAAGACCCTCACACAGCATAGACCTTGCCGAGGTGCGTAGATATTGTATCATGTATTACCAACAGAGCTACGTGTTAATATTTTCTCACGAAATGGCACTATACCCATTTACTTATCATTAATATTTTAAATATCTCAACGTCTATTCTCAGTGCTTTCTCTTTTTAGCCGCGCGATAAATCTTTTCCTATTAGGGTCATGTCTTAAACATTTTATGACTAGTGTTTTGAGAACGTGATATAAAAAAAGTAGAAGACTAAAATGCATCGCAACGTAGTCGTATAATGCAAACAATACAATGATCGCACAGCATGTAGCAATTCCAAATTGAAAATTATAAATTTAATTTTAAAAAAAAATTGTGTATCATTGTATTATGAACATTGTGTCTCTGATAGATCTGAATGCTAAGAATTTCTTCGCTCTGGATGTTCGATGCAAAATGGGTGCAAAAAAGTGCTATCGTGAAACTGCTGTTATATGATACAATTGACATGACCTCTAAGAACCGAGTGCTAAGTATGCTTCCTTTTTTATATATTTATTTATTTATCAAGCATATGACCCTACTATACATACAGCCCCATAAAGTCACCACATCTTCTTAGTAATTGTTGTATCATCTCGTACTTAATAATATTAAAAACAAGACATGTGCAAACATTCAATTTCACTGTACCTCACTCATGTCCATTTGTACTGGGTCGTAGTTAGCATCGCAGGCCTTATTCGCTTCGGTGTCACCTTCTATCCCATATATCTTCGAAACACATTAACAATCAGACAATTAAACGATTTACAAATCAGAAGTTTCTTACGTAGTAAACATAAACTGTTAACATTCGATTAATGATGAACGTGCACAGGATGCCTATACCTAAACGTGTTACTTCAGACGTATGTTCAATCGAGCGAAAGAAAATACAAATACATGAACAAATAAATAACTGATTAACTTAAATGCGTTGTAGATTTACGTCGAACTCGAGAGATGACTGTAAGCTAAGGAATAAATTTGAACAAATATACAGGAGCATTGTTCTATAACGATCGATCAATTGTACATATTAATTCAACAATTTATTCGAGAAGCCATGACGAGAGCGTGTGTATTAAAATTTTTCCGAGCGTCATGGATGCCGAGATGAGGGATGCACTACGGGCCGATCGTGAAATTTCGTGATGTTCGCTCAATTCTTCCATAGGCTCACCTTTATGTCTTCAGAATTATTACTGTTGTCCCCGTCACTACCGTAATTCGCTAACGAGTCCATAATGGAGTAAAAACGGGGCACAAACTGCCCGAAATTATTACGACTATCGTGGCGCGTCGATCTTAGGCAGTGTCGGACACTCCGTGAGATTTCCGGGGCGTGCGCACTATGAGTTACTAGCAGCAGCTTGGTGACGCACTTCCGTTTTTCAATTTAAAGGTATCATTAGATCCCGAGTATGGAAATAGACCTGGTAAGTATACATTAGATTCGAAACAGATGAAATTGATTTCAATAGCAGTCCATTCCTCTAAGGTCCATTCAGACAATGTTATGTTTTTGGTTTCCGGTTTGGTAGCTTTACAGAATAAAGTAATACATCATCGCTGCTTTCTATTATATTTGAATAAGGATAGAGAAATAAAAATGCTAAGATTCGTTGCCATTCATTTATTAATCAGAATTAAATCAGATATTTTCCTCACCTCAGCATTGATTAGCGCGTATTCGTGAATAAAAATCTCCAAGAAAAGAAAGCTTTTCATGAAAAGATAATAAAAAACTGGGCATGTTTCAATATTTTACCAATATAACTGAATTTAAATGAATTTACGTTCCGGAAGTGCGGTCACATAACATCTCTAGCTGTGACGTCATTAACGCATGTCTTTTAGACGCCTAGTTCCAAGAGTCCCACGGGGTGTCCAATACTAACACTGCCTTGGCTGCCTTTTGCTGCCTTTTGCATAGAAACGCCATTAATCGGCTACGTGTGCACGTGATTCCTACGATTCTATTTGTCTTTCGTTCACGTTGTTCGTAAGTCCTTCAGCGTTCTTGATATGAAATAAGACGCGAAAGGCAGAACGAATCGAAGAACTAAAAAGATATGCCAGGTTTCGAATAATCGTTATTTACGCGTTAGCAATTAATGCAATATTAATTATCAGATACAAGCAATATTAGAAATCTGGTTAATAAAACAATTTTGAGAACTGTCCCCGGCACCCGCGACACCCACTCCAACCCACTCGTCGGTGAGTGCCGCCCCCGCAGCACTGCACCTCTTTTTATATCCTTGATAAACCTCTACTACGAGAAACGTGGAACTGATCTCTACAACATCTTTGAACTCGAATGTACCCCCCACGCTCTTGCCATTGAGTTAGCGAAGCGGAAGTGGAAGGAGATGCACCCAGGAAATGCAACGCGAGTCGGTAAAATTAGGCGCGAACACGGTAGGTCGATCTCTGTTAATTGACAATTGATCGATTCCTAGATCATTCAGTCTCTTCATGGTATATTTGTCTCCAGAGTGAAATTCACATGTCGATCCAATGATCAGGTGAAAACACTATTCGTTCAGATTAAACATAAACTTAATTATAGTGGACACAGAAAATAATCTCAGGGGATGAACGATATATTTTTCTTTAGAATAAAAGAGGAATAAGAATAGATCTCATATAAATTTTTATAAACGCAATTTACAGTTTTAATTCCGTGCGATGCACAGCTCTGTAGTTCTAATTATATCCAACCAGGTGCAAACTTAGGAACGAGGTGTTAATTAATTCTGTGACGGTAGGAACGATTTCCGGAAGGGTCACCATACCGTAAAAACAGTTAGATAAGAGGCCACATAGGGAGTATTCTTGTTTCCGTTTAAACGATCGAGCTACGGTGAAAATAAATAAAAAATTCTCCGACGGTTCTGATCTTCGACGCACTCCTTCACGTAGAATGCTGGAAATATGAACTTCACCTTTGCCTTGTATTTTTTTCTTCTCACCGTTTAGAGGGTGTACAAAAGATTTCAGTGACAAAACCCGTCGCTGGCGGGATCGTCTTTATTTACGGATGAATCCCATCGCGACGTAGCTGGGGGTGCAACGAAAGGTGCACGGGAAAGGTGTTGCAAAGGTGGGCCGATCGTAGAGAGCACTCGCATTGACGTTTACGCGCGGAGAAGCGCGAGCCGGCGTGCAGGGGAGCCGTGAACAAACCGGGACGCAACAGTCGCTCGGCAGACTTCGTGCTGGAACCATCTACGGAGGTATGGTTTCGCGTGACACTTCGTGATTCGAGCCTGGGATACCTGTTACGAATCGTTACCCGTGAGGGAAAACACGGTGGGCCCAGCTGTCGGGGTGAGTGTACCCTCGCGATTCAAGTTCCTCTTATACAGAATGATCCCGGAAACTCGGTTGACCCCGGGCAGCAACCCTTCGATACGCCGATCGAAGTACAGTATCTGGGTACACGCGTACCACGACCGTAGATTCTCTCGTTCCACTCAGATCTACGTGACCCCGTTTTCGTCTTAAATCATAGCCAATTGTTTTAAACGGACCACATCCTCCCATGGAGAATTTTCCATTTCTGTACAATGGAACGAGGCCAATCTCCAAACGCATTCTCTCACGTTTATTATTCGTGTACCAAAACCGCGATTTAATTGACGGTAGCTGTGATTTGTCCGCGGATCGTTCAGGATGATTAATGGGCAGTAATTATCCTACCTTGTGTTCCAACGCAGATGATCTGTTCGATTCAGGATCGAAGGTGATCCGTGCTGGGGAATCGTACGGACGAGTTAGATTACGTTATAAAGCGGCCCGCATTAGCGACTCGGCACGCCATTCGTGTTGTTTATAATCGCTTTTACATATATCTCACTTTCTCACAAGCCACTTACATGCGACAACAGATTACCATCGTTCAGATTTGTTTCTTTCATTCTCTCTTCATTTCTACGCCTAAGCACGAGTCTCGCGTGTGAACATTAAAAATTAAGCTGATCGAATCGATGATTTAATTAAGCTAAACGATTTAATTACACTTGACATTCCCTGCCATGTAGCTGGCTCGTGTATAATAGGAATAGACGAATGAAAACGAGCATCGTACATATGTACATAGGCGTATCAATATGTCCATGAAAACGATCAGGCGAATGCATCATCTACATTTGCAATGCGCACGATATTCCGCAATTACGGCGAAACAAGTTTCTTGTAAAGATATTTAGTCTTATCAAAACATTCAGTAATGGTCGAGCGAAGTATATCATAATACGTTAGCTCATCGGCCGTATTAACACGAAGGCCGTATGCCTACATACATACATATTTGATTCTAGCGTGCAACACAAAATATGACTGAATTCGCAGAAACCGGTTCCATTCTTTTTATAAAGATGATATCGCGGTCGATATTTGTTCGTTCTAATTGAATTCTGGCACCATGACGTGCGGAAAGCTCGTTATCGCGCCGAATAAAATGTCAGAGTGACGTTTTCACGAAATTTGATGATTTACTGTCAGTTAAGAATCATCGGGACCGCCCACGCGTTTCGGGAAGAGCAAAACTTCGATCGCGTCATCGAGTTTAAAAAAGATAAAGCCGTGACTTTGTCTCGTCGGATCGCGTCGCGAGCTTTGTGATTTCGCATCGACCGCAGGAACTCGCGTACCATTCGGTTCCGACGGATGAAAAGTCGCTTTGGGGACACGCTGGAGGACCATCGTGCACCTCGCCGCGGAAATATCAAGGGCAGAAAACACCGCGGCCGGACGGGAATTAATTTAGAAAATGCGGTTACCCAGACGAAATTATTCGCGGCGTGTCGCGGCGGTCATTAATTAAATCTAACTCACGCCGTCGAACTTTTTGTCGATACTTTCCCCGTTAATTATCGAGTCGTCGCCGTCTTCGCTCTCTGTCGTCGCCGTCAAAGTATCAGAAAACTCACGTTGGGAACGTTGAACTCTCGTGCCGTCAAATTTATACAGATTTATACAGACTCGGGGATACGGGTAACTGTGTTACCCTTGGAAATCGACGGTAACGTAATAATGGTTTGCATTCTTCAACGATGGGATAACGCATATTCTAAAAAGAATGAGGATAATTGCATCTACGAAGAATGTGGTTGGCTTTATTTAGATCACCTTGTAATCTAGCAAAACGTACAGGAAATGAGATTCCAAACGGTGGCTCCGGATTAAAACGGTTCCGATTCGATTTCGCTAGGCGAGAATTAAAAAGTATATCGCGTCAGACGGGGAGAACTTATTAAACTTTTACTTGTGGAATATCTGCGAAGCGACTTATTAAACTGCTGCAAGTCTGAGGAGTTGTTTATACGAGTCCATCCGGACTTCCAGGGAATTCTTAACTCGAAGGTCTTTTATGCTTGCTTGATACTTTAAATGTTCCCGGACCTTTTGTCTCCCCTGCCTGTTTGCTCGAAGAACAAAGGGTTTGAAAAACTTTGTTTGTCAATTACGACTCGATACACACGCCGTTCAGAATGTACCTACGCCATTAATGACCTTTCTCTCTCTCTCTCCTTGGGCTTCTCTTGAATCAATAACAATTTGATACGATCTTGAAGTGTGTAGATACGAAGTTCTGACGCGATGCAATTTCCGAGATAAATCGAGTCTGAACCGTAGACTCGTATCGACTACCGTTACCCGTCGAAAACTGGCGACCGGCAAGCCCAAGTATAGCACCGAGAATCGTTTTGTGTTCGCGCGAGCGAACGCGGTTTTACTTTTACCGTCGCGGGAGGGACTATAATCTCGCGATCGAACAAACTTCCCGAGAACCCGTTCCGATGACTCCTATGCTCTTAGGGTTCTTCCACGTTTCTTCATCGTTCCTGCTCGCGTTTACACGCGTCCCGTTTTTCTCGCTCGCACGCCGAGGAAGGCCCCCGAGCATCGGTTCCGTTATCCGCCGCAAATACAAGTCCATCCTGTACAACTTCGTTCATAAGTCTTCCAACTGTTCATTGTCCATCAAAAATTGTTTTGTAGTAAAGTAAACGTTCCAATTTTGTGTTCACGTGACAATTTCTTCTCCCTGCCTCGGAACGTGACCACAAATCGGGATATTTACTATAAACTTTCGATTGTATTTCAAATGAAAGACATTAGCAATTTTTATGTCACAATTGGCGAAAATATCTGAAAGAGTATTTGAATACAAATTTTTATTTCATACATACAACTATGTTTGATAATACAGTCTAAGGCTTGTAAACAGCGATATTCATTTTGCCTCTGGTGAAAATGAAACTCGTTGCCACTCACGAAATGGCAGTATTAGCCGGAAATTTGGCGTGCAACCTTTTTGTCGACCCCGACGCCGTTTACCAACCGTGTACTTGGCACAATCGTGTCGCTCGTTGATTGATAACAGGTTGAAATCGTGCAGGAGCGAAGGGAAAGAGAATTGGATGGGATTTTTTAGTACGAGGGTTACTGGATGCATTCATTAAACACAAGAGTCCTATGAGAGGTTTTGTCCTTTTCATCGAGCACTTTAATCCTTCGAAAGGGGGTAGAGTTTATTTGACAATTTCAAATTAGTCATGGATGACTGCGGGCTTCTGTGCAAAGCGAAGTATTTACTGTGTCGGTTGAAAAATGCGTTCTGAACGGATTCTCTCGTGACTTAAACGTCGCACGTATGCACTTTACATTTGTCTGTGAATACATCGGGTCTGCAGTCTGGTTGAATCTGTTGCAGTGATAAAGATTTCGGTTCGATTCTCAGGGCCGTTTATTTATGGAAGATCACAATAAAGACGGCTGCAATATTTCAGACGGTTATATCGGGAAACTTGGTAAAATCAATTGAATAGCTATTGTGGGACGCGCGGATTCGGTAAGGGAGGGAATAGTTTGGCGTAGTTTCGCGAGGAACTTCATTTCCTCGAGCCGAGCAGACTTTTCAACCACACCGTCCCAACAGCCATTTTGTACTCTTAATCATTCAACGCCCGTTAGTAGATTCCGCTCTCCAGGAAATTTCAATTTTACCAATTCTTTATCAATTCGTTCGAACGTCTTCAGCATAATTCAATAATCTAATTAATGTTAAACTACAGATTTTATAGAAGGATGTATGCGCATAAAATATGAAGAATTCCATGTTTTCACGTCATATGAATTCAATTCACGTACATCATTATACTTATACAAGGTGTTCAAAAAAACCATTCAATATTTATAAGTCTTAGTAAACATAGGTCGAAAGGTCAATCGTTTCTAAGATATAAACATTTTTGTTTACTAGTATCATGATTGACTTACTTGCTTCCATCGCATGCGATGTTTCATTTAGTGTTTATAAATCACGTTCTGAATGTTCTTATTCAAGCCGACAGTAGATTTCATTGAGAATCAGTCAGTTGTTGATCGACGAATGTAGATATTACACAATTACAAACTATCGCGAAAATGTCAGCGTATTATTCGAATGAAGAAATGGCAGATATGCATTTTACGTATGGCCGTATTAATGGAAGTGCTTTAGCTGCAAATGACGTCTTTACGCGGAAAAATTTCTTAATCGAAGGATTCTCTCTCACATGTTGTTCCAAAAACTTCACCAACGTCTTTGTGAAACAGACCCATTGTCATCGAAACTCTGGCAGACTGTGGAATTTTCGAGAGTGTTCGTGACTCTGTAAAAAAAAAATGCCAAGCGTGTGTAGAAATGGACACGTGGAAATCTTCTGCAAACATTGAAAATTCAGTAGTAAGTTAATTATGATAATAAAAAACGAAAATGTTTATATCTCAGAAACGTTCGACCTTTCGAATTATATTTACTAAAGCTTTTTTACTCAGTACAGTGTATCCTATATACCATATAAATATTGAATGGTTTTTTTTCAACACTCTGTATATTTTATTAATGATCAGCATCTTATCGTTAAAAATGAAACAAGCCGGAGGGGATCAACGTCTGCATGGAACATCTGCTAGGAAACTAGGGGAATCAAACGTGTAATCACCGTGTAGGGAGACTAGGCAACCGTATTTGTCATATCTGCATAATGTGCTCTCGAAAACCCGCTCGCAGCTTCTTGCATCGCGTCGAAGGGGTGTTGCGAAACACCGTCGAAGGGACGCGTGAGAGAGAACCGTGGCGCGGATCATGGAAAGGGGAGATCCCGGGGTTGATGGGGATGAATTAGGCGTTGAGTCGTGCGACGCCACGAATGAGTAATTCGAATCGATCGTGAAATCTGTCTCGTTTTCACATTCCCCGCCTCTCTTCCCAGCGTCTAGCTAAAAAAGAAAACCAAACCTTGCGTCAGCAGTAACTATAGGATACACTCCGTTTTCGG